TAGCAAATATTATTATTGAAAAGACATTTTTTTGGGGATGGGATATAGGAAAGATTCCTTATGTGTGCTATAAGGCGAAATCCTTGCAAATTTTACACGCTCTCTATGTCAGATTTGATATTGTTTGTGCGTGCAGCTACAGGAACATGTGACTGTGATGGTCCATGAGTATTTGCCTTCCAGAGAGACATTAGTGAGGATGCTTTAATTTGAAAGGGGTAATATTTTCAAAGATGACCAGGCGGCTGTGGGAGCTGTGTTTTTGCGCTCTGGCTGGCAACTCTACCAACAAATCGGGGAGATTTTAAGGGCAGGAAAGAGAAAGAGCTAAGAAAGCAAAGCGATGTCTTAACTTGGTCAGGAGAATTACTTATGTCTGCATTCAATGCGTTAAATCTGTATTTGCGGGGAGGGAAAAGGCATTGCTCCCGTATCCAGGGTTTGAAATCGAAACCTCCTGATCCGCCCCTCATGATCTGTTCCATTCAATTTCCCATGCAGCAGATTGCAAACCCCTCTATTGTCACCCTTCCACAGATACACACTTATTAAATGTAAGGAAATGGCAGAATAATAATTTCCCCGTAATGTTCTGCAATTAGGGCGTTTGCCGGGCTTAGACGAGGCTGCAGAGCTGTAATTTACGGATGACTTTCCATCGGATTGTTATACTTCTGGTTTAGGGAAAGTTATGCCTTGCAAAGTCACTAGTTACACACATTAAGAGAGTTGCCTAATCTTTAATTGGCCTTACGCTTAGACATGACACACTACACTCAAGTATTTCTTTCAAAGGGTTAGGTAAACTATATTTCAATGCGCAGAACGCCCTTGCCATGCCTGAAGTAAAACAAACTCGCACGCATTAATCCCCCAAACACAGCAGAAAAATAATGTGCGCAGATAAGACCTCTCTCTCGATTCCCAGCGATTATTCTCCATGACATTTTCCCTCGGAAAACAATTAGGACCTGGGAATATTTTGGTAGAGTTCGGCAGAACAGGCTTGTTTGAATTTCAAATTTCAAAGCGGATTAGAAAATCTTAATGCGTTTCTGGATTTGAATGGCTTCAACTGTGCTGCTTAGGACAGGGCAGGGCCAGAAATATGGAGAAGTTGTCATTTCTAGCTAACTTTCTTTTGTTGTTTGAGAGTTTCTTGCAGTACTGGCGGGTTTATATGCTTGTGGGTTTGAGGATATTTTTCTTTCCCGTAGTTCTTGAATCTCTCTACACCGCTTTCCGTGGAATATGCTCCAGGAGCCACATTCAAAAATGTGACAATATGTACTAGCAAATCTTTTCGCTCTAGACAATGAAAAATTACAGTCCGCGACGATAACCAGGTTCCTAAAATATTAGTCAAACGGGTGAGCGTGTGTGTTTGTATATTCACCAGATAGTTCAAATAACGCAGTGTTGTCGACTATTGAGTAATCGCGAATGGTTTTGTGTCCAGTATCATTCCCGTTTACTAGCGAAGGATTTTCCTTGGAAAAGGACCCCTATATAAATGAAGCCCAAACTTTTAAAGGGTTTTCATGCCTTTGCCTCAAACTATAAAATTTTATGGCATATAATATAATATAATACGCGCCTATCATATATAACTTTCTGGTATTCCTATTGACGAAAATGTGACAGCTAGTGTACTATAAAATCTCCAGCTGTTTATTACGGAAATGATTTTCAAATGTGCATTTGGATATGCGCTTTTAAAGCCTTTCCCATTTTTTTAATATAAAGTATATGCATATGTGTTTGTTTAGTGCTCATAGGAAGATACACAGACACAAAGGCTTCAGACTCCATTTATCTTACACAGAGGGTTGATGCTAAATATTAAATATTTGTAAAACTGTGAGACCTTTGAGCTGAGCCAACCTTATACACTACCATTTCTTTAACATTAAAGGCAAATAAATTAAAAATAGGAACCAGTCAGTAATGTGCAGACCTTGCAGAGGTACACAACAACCTTACCCTCCTGTACCCCTGTGCCTTTCTCTCATTTTTGCTCGCAGTAACAGATACAGTCTAAACCGCAATATTCAAACGGGACAGCACTAGCAAAATAAAACAAAGCCCACCTCCCAGCTCGTGTCAAACCACCCTGTTCTTTTGCAAACCCGACTTTATGACACATGAAGGAAAACAATGTGATCTGCTGAATCCCTGCTACTCCAAACCTGAGCAGAGAAAAAGATACTCACAGCTGGTTTGGAGAGAGAGATATATATGTGTGTGTGTGCGCATATATATATATATATATATAGGAAGCAATTCTCAAAAAATTCTCTTCCCTAGTCCCTGACTAGTCCGTCTGCACCCCCCGAGATCACTCGCCTAAGTAACAGCTCTGAGGGTAAGGATCAGGCCTTAATGCTACCCAGAGAAAGACACAGTTCCTTTCACCCTTTCATTCAAGTCCTGGAAATTCAAAGACTAAAGTTAAATCCGGCCATAAAGTTTATTGCTGAGTAATCACACTCTAGTGAGAACAGTCCACTTAAATAAAAAGAATGTTGAAGTAAACACGCAGCTGGGGCCTACCCCACAATGGCAGCCAGCAATATAAGGCAGAGAGGGAGAGAGCAGAGCTAGGGGGATATTTACAATCTTCAATAAACCAAGCCCGTATTTCATAATTTGCAGCACTCTAATGACCTGTAGTCTCTTGTATTAATGCTACAAGTTACAGTCAATTGGTTCGCTTTAAAAAAAAAAAAAAAAAGTCACAGGAACATATATACGTATACACGCATACACACCCTTTGTATACATAAATACACCGATATTAGACACACATATGCATGTGCACGGCTTTATACAGGCGTATACATCGATTTGTACATGCATGCACACACGCACATAATTTAAATATATTTATATTTATGCAATTACATATAGGATCTGGGAAAAGTTACAGCAACGTTATAATGCGCATCCCCGAAACACGCTACGCGCCCGCATATGGACATATATGCATAGCTAAAGCTTTCTGCACAACCCAATGCAGAAAATAGGAATCTTAAGCGCTCCAGTACGGTCTGTGCCATTTTAATACTAGCTCTGATGTGCAACATATTTCACCAATCCAAAGATTATTACCATATCAGCACGCCTCCAACTCTATCATGCCTACATAAGACACTGCCCAGATAATATCAAGCCCTATCTATTTTGTTTCCCCTATTTTAATCGCCTGCAGTAACTACTCTTCGCTAAACAAAACCTCTCCAAACTTGGAGAGCCTATTGGAGCAAAGGAAGTAATTATGTTCTGCGGTAGTCAAAGTGATTAAAGCTAGGCCCCAAAATCCATCTCTGCCAAAGTCGCTTATTGTGGTTTACTTTGATTTGATCGTTAAAATAGAGAGCTAGCTGCTGCGAGTGAAGGGATGGGGGGGGGGGGGGGGTTTGCGAGACC